ACTCCAACTACTTGGTTAAAGATGTGGCTGTTAGCAGTACTGCCTGCTTTGTGTCACAGATTTAGCTGTCCTCACCTGCTACAACGATGGACAGCGAAGTGCTAAGGGATGGCAGAATCCTGGATTTGATCGACGATGCATGGAGGGAAGATAAATTACCGTACGAGGATGTAGCTATCCCTCTGGTAGGTGAACTGCTCTTATCAATCACAGTTAAGGCTGATGTGTTTATCACAGCCACTTCCAAGAAACAGCACAAAGAGTACTGCTTGTGGTACAGCTTATGTGTGCAGAAAATTCCCAGGATGGCTCCGACTCGCTCTTGTCCTGTATGCCAGTCATTCCTGTGGGCATACAAGGATGTAGATGTTTCTCTCCCCCCTCCCCTGTGGGGAAAAATGCTGAATCTCCTCATAACTGGAGTGTTCTTCCCATGGCACAGTTCTGGGTTTGGCACCAGGGAGAAGTAGAAGTGCCTTTTCTCTGGGTTTCCCCTTCCTGTTGCTAGTGTTTGAAGTGGTTTCCCAGTTGGTTAGTAGAACAGAGGAGCAGTCTCATGCTGAGTCTTGGTTACTCTTTATTTTCTGAAATTCCATTTTAAAAAGCTGACATTTTCTCGAATATCTTCCTAAACAGTCTATTCAGATACAGTGTTGCTGTGGCCAGTTCAAGGGTAGTAGTGAACAAACTGGCATCTGTGGTATGACTCTTGTTTGTAGCACTACATCCAGTGCATGGCACCTGTCTTTTCATCCAATGTACAGCCTGTTGTACAGCTATAAGACCATGGAGGTGCAGCTGGAAAAACGTTACCTCTGATCCCATAAAGCCCACAATTGAAACTTCAGATCTCCCACAATGACACCTTTCCTTAGCCATTTTGAAACTGCCAGGCAGTGAGAGATATCTGAGGAGATTCCTGTTCCTGTTCTCTCTGGTACACAAGCTTTAACCCTGGCTAACATTCACAAAGCAGTCATGCTAAGGTCACAGGGACTTGATAGGCTGCTAGTTTCTTTTAGTAGTGAGACATTTCCACCTTGCTGGTGACGTGGCTCAAGCCTTAGCCCTTACACCGCTGCATTTTCAGAGAGGGCAAGGAGCAGCTACACACCTCCAAAATCCATATATATGGCACACAGGTTACATCCTGCCAAGATTTGGGCTTGAGGGAATGATCTTAGAGAGCTGTGATTCTCAGATACAGGAGCCCAAACTCCTCTTTGCTTGGAATAACCTTTATTAGACAGGCTAATAATTACAAACTTGTTCCTTGCTGACATTTGCCTTTACGCTGTGCCCAAACATTGCTGTGTCTTTCCTTAGAGCTGTTTCTTGAGCTGCTTACAGTCACATAGAGAAGGCAGCTTCAAAGCAGGAAGCTTCATCAAATAACAATGGAAAGAAAGGACTGGCTGTGGATATAAAGATCCCCAGGGATAGGATTGGCTCTGATCACATAGAAAAACCAGCACAAAATCACAGGAGATTTACTTAGTGGTGTTGTCAAGGAGCAAACAGAATGGCTGCAGAGTGGTATTTGAGCCTGTCCTGAGCATCTGATCGTAGTGCTCACTTGAGAGATTCCTATGAACTCAAAGGGGCTCAAACCATATGCTGCTTTCAAAACTGAAACATTTTATTGAGCTCATGCTGGGGTTTCCAGAGATCTAGAACTCCCAATTCTTGCCCAAATGGTATCTAGCAGAAATAACAAGCACTCCTTGTGACTGCACCAATATGTCAGCACAGAGCACAAATAAGGAAGGAAAATGCAATCTCAGTTAAACTATTACCTCCTTCTTATTGTGTCGTGAGCAGCTCTATGTTGCACCTGACTTCTGCTATTGATACAGCACAGCCACACCAGAGTTCTGTATGCAGAAAGAGGAAGGATTTCCCACCTGCCATAGGAAAGTAACATGTACAGAACCAGTTGTCTTAATAAGAGCTATAATAAATACAGTATCTGTATTCTTGGCTACAGCAGAAGAAACACATTGGAAACAAGCAATAGAATAATTGCATCATACTATTATTATTTTGCATTTGCTGTATATTCTCCTTAACTGCATGTGCAGTCGGAGTGTATAGCAACACCCCAGGGGCCTGGAAAACCAATTTACCTTTCAGATTAAGCAGCATATTCATGTGAAGAGAATATTGTTCACAACTGGGCTTAGTAATATTTTTAAGTGGCTCAGTATGTATGATACATATTGTTCAGGTACACCCTCTGGTCTTGTTTGTGGATTTGTGTATTTACCCATATGAAGTCTTAGTAACCTGCTCCTTTCAGGAAGTGTATTATGTGTGGAATGCAGTGTATCTCTGTTTGGTTCTCAGAATGAGCTTCCTGAACCAGAGCAAGACAATGGTGGAACAACTGAGTCTGTGAAAGAGCAAGAAATGAAGTGGACAGATTTGGCTCTCCAGTATCTCCATGAAAACGTTCCCCCCACGGGAAACTAGTGAATCAGCGAGATTTCATGCTGTGGATGCATGAATGCAATATAAAGAATATTTTTCATCTGAGCATCGCCGTCAAAGGCTTCTCTAAGGAGGAAACAGCGCTTCTGAAAAAGGCTCAGACAGTGGCCACACACAGTTTAAAATGCTTCTGTAATAAGTGTGAAATAACAGTGGCTGCCTGACACCTCAGTGCTAATATAAAAGATGTTTCTCTTATGTAAAATTATTTCCTATCTTCTGTTAAATTGTTCTTAAGTTGGTGGCAGTTTCGATCTTAAATGTTTTCTACATGTAATAAAAGAAGTTGTTTTTACTGTCTCAAGTTGGTTTTGATTCCAAAACTCACAAAGGGATGATTTCTGACTCTGAAGGTTTATGTCCCAAAAAGTATTCCTGTGTGTTCTGTGGTTTGAGTTGAGTGTACAAAACCCAGTATCCCTAAGTCAGTTGTTACCATCTTTAACGAGTGTGTGGCTGAGGAAGGTTGTGGGGGGCAGGCATGACAGATCGGTCAACAGGATTCAAGAGCTGGAAGTTACTTGTAAACATACGTGGTTATTTGAATGCCTCATCTCATGGTTTGATGGTGGTGGTAATACTGGCATTTCCAGTGCTGACATCCTGGGTATGTTTGCCAGTACACATACTGCAAACAGACAGTCTGATTTTGTGCTAAAAAAATAGCCTGTTTTTGCATAGTTACTCAAAATCATTGTCTTTTGAGGGAAGATTGAGAGTGACAAGGAAGAGCCTGCCAGTCCCAGTGTACCACCTATTGAATTGATAGCCACTTGGATGTGCTATGTCAGATGGGAAATGGAAATCTGAGGAAAACGATGGGGAAAAGAAACAAGCAGGGCTTAGCTTGAGGCAGTAAATTGTTACCTCTTTTTGTGCTGAGAAGAAAGGCAAGGCCCTCTTGATTTCTTCCTCTCATTTTATCTCTGATTCTGACATGTCTTTTGCAATAGGTGAAAGCCTTCTGTTCATCTTGCCTGTTTCACTGTTGGACCAATTCCTTCACACCATTGGCAGAACTTGCTAAGGAGCAAATATTTTGACAGAGTTTAGGATTACTGGTAGAGGTGAGAAAGGAACTGGAAGGAAAACAATATTCCAAGTTACTTTCTTTTGCCAGTGCATCAGAAAAAGAACTTCCCTGGAGCCTGCAGTTTCCAGACTCCAGTGTTTTTGGTGTCTTTTCTCAATGTGTAACCTCTTCAGAATAACCCAGCTTTTGCCTGTGTGATTACCAAATGGCATCACAGCACATGTCCTGTAAGACTGCTGAATTGCATGAGGATGGAGAGCTCAAGGTGCTTGTGAAGCAAGCATGTATGTTGCTGGGCTTGCACCTGTGGCTGCAGTGTAACCTGTGCCTGCACCAGGGAAGCGGCAGGCACTTGTCTGAACAAGAAGGAGCAGCTGCCAGCCAGCAGGCAGAGCTAAGGATTAACCCAAGAATTAACAAAGTCAAAAAGCTTAATACATACAGCATGGACCAAAGAAGCAGTTATGCCACTGGGAACTGTAAGAGTTCAGCTCCTCACTGGATTGTCATCGGGGGAAAGTAAGCAGAGCCTGTGCTTAATGAGGTGTTTCTGATCCTCCCCATGTTCCATGTCCCTGGTCTATGTTAGAAGAATTTGCTAAGGAAACATTAGGAAAAGCTACCACATAGTTTCTACACAGCAGCCATCCCTGCTCTCTGCTCCCCTCTCCTCTCACCTCTTAACAAACTTTCCACCACCTCATGTTTCCAATTCTGCCACTGGATCTTCCAGCTCCAATTTCAGACTTCCTTTCCTGCCCCTGACAGTGGTCTTTACATCTGCCATCTTCCTGCCATTCAGCACAGGAAAAAGAAAACCCTTTCTTACTTAAGTTAGAGCTGGATTCATGAGGTTCCAGCAGGTCTGCAAGAAAACACAGATCTGGTGAGGGTGCCAGATACAGTGTCATCCAACACAGCAGTCACTTGACAGCCCAGTGGAGACCCAGACTGACTCAAACTGGTACCTTCCCTTGGTCACACCATAGTGCTGTGCCTCCTGCTTGAGGTGACAGGGTCTCATAGGTTAGAAGGGATGCTGGGCCAGAGTGCTCAGCACAGCTGGAGGGATGTGGGAGAGTATGAATCCTACAATGTAGGGCTCTGTGAAACCAAGTGCCTTGCCCTGCCCAGATGCTTATCACACTTGCAGTGACACACAGGTTCTCCACTGCCTATTGACATTCTTTGCAACAGACAGACGTGCAGTAATTCCCTTAGTTTCAACACCTGTAGTCAAATTGCTGCTTACAGTGATACCAAACCATTTGTGTCTTGGATTAGTCATTTCCCAGGGCAAACTAGATTTAAAATAAGGAGACCTGGTAAAATAGAAGATGCCCCACCTTTTTCAGAAGAAGCTTTAGTTGTATAACTAAAGACTGGTCTTCATTTCTTGGCTGGTAACTTCCTCCTTTCACCACACCTACAGTTACTGGCAGGGAAAAAAAAAAGAGAGCAAACTGTTGTCAGAAGACACATGCCAAACAAATTGTGGGATCCTTCAAACCTTTTACCTGCAGAAGTTCCATGTGGGAATCCATATGCTGAGGCTGTGCATTGTGTTGATCTACCTTTTGTACGCGGTGAAAACAGGTAAGAAACCAAGCATTTGTTTTCAATGTTTCTGTCAAATATAACATGCTTTCTGTGCTTTGCAGAAGCATGAATATATCTACTGTCTGCATTACAGTTACTGCGTAGGGTTTTTCACCAGCATTATTTATTCCGGCAAAGCAAATTATACTGGTTACATGAATGCAGTTCAGCTCTAAGAGTTCCAAATATAAAACCAGCAGTCATTTTTATTATCTTTTCCTCCCTTTGCAAACATTCCTCTTATATAAGTACTATCCATCGACACTGAAAATGTCATTTGAAACCTTCAGAGAAGAGTGATTTCTTCTCAGCAGTGTCTGATATGACAGACGCAAAGGATGAATTACCATTCGTGAACATAAGCTTCATTTGATATCCTCACAGCCCTATCAAGAATCAACCTGTGTAACAATAAACAAATGTACTGCCTTGTGTTACCATACACATGGGAGCAAGTCAAGTTATAGCTCTCTGCTTTATAGGGAAAACATAGGATTAAAGAAACCCCAGAAGAATTCTTGTAAATAATAACATGTATTTCTGGGTTCTCTGCAGTAATCCTGGGGTCGCATTTTGCTTAGTTTGTTAAGTATGCTTTAGGAAATGTGGTCGTAAGACGTGGAAAAAAGCACCAAGGAAACCCAGTGAGATACTGAAGACCAGTTTAAGAGGTAGAGGGCATGCTCCCTCTGTGGAAAAGTGGTGGAAATGTTCACTGATGCTACTGGGATTTGCTATGTGGTAGTGAAGCGTGCTTAAAGCTGAAGGCTCATTATTGATGCGTAGGACAAATCTGTTGGAACACACTGTAAAGAGCCCAGGCAAGGTGACAGTGTTTTCAGTGTCAGTGAAACTGCAGGCAGGCACAGAAGCAGATCCGTGCAAAGTGTTGACTGGGAGAGCAGCCCCCTTCACAGGCTCTTTGTGGAAATACAGTCTCCCAAGGACCACAGCTAGGACAACTGCAAATCTGACCCTCTGAAGTGAAAATCTGTTGGAACTTCACTTTGCAAGAGGACAGACCGGTGGAGTTAAAAAATTCAGCTGCTATTCTATTCATGCAGACAGCCTCCGGATCACAGCCCTGAAAATGCCACTATTGCAAACCCTGCCTGTGTGCAGGGGAGCATCCTGGACAGATACATCCAGGGCAGAAGAACGTCCAGGATAGAAGGAAGAAAAAGCCTGGTTCTGAAGCTACATATATATATAATGTGGTTCTGAAGTTACACATATATATATAGATATATTCATATTCATATATGTAACTTCAGAACTTCAGAATCCTGCTGCATTAGCGCCTCAGAGGCTGATCTCAAGCTTGTGAGAAAAGACGCCCAGGTCCCGCATAGGAACATGGGTTTAACAGACTGGTATGTGGCTGCTACAGGTGCTGAGATCTCAGAGCACCTTGCCCAGGAAACTAGTGTTTGCCATCCTATTTTACACACCAGAAAACTGAGCAGACAGAGGAAAGTGAATTGCCTGGGGCTGTTCAGCAAGCTAATGGCCTAGACAGGGCTGGAAGCTAATTAATGGGACACTGGGTTAATTGCCACATTTATTCACCTTTCCTGGAGGGAAGAGGTCTGTTGGACATGGGTTAAGTACAGTGGTCTGTTTCCACCTCGCTTGCTTGCTTGCAGAGTTAATCTCAATAAGCCTCTTGCCCATCAGAGAAATCATGCTGGAGTTTCAAAGACAATTCCAGCCATTTGGGTAGGATTCGCTGTGCTTATCAGAATGAAGAGCAAAGCCAGGATAACTGGCGGTCCTCATGTGTCAGCTTCTGTAACACATGGTGGATGAGTCTGGGATGTGCACCAGCCTGCCAGAAGAGAAGCTGGCAGGTTTCCCCCCACTATTAGCACTGATCTGATTTTGTTAATCAAAATAGAACAAATCTAACAGACTTGGTGCAGATATAACATGGCTTTTCAAACAGCTCCTGTGTTAGGTATTAGCAAACGCTGATCAGCTCTTTAAAAGCTCCTCCTTAGCAGAAGGTTTGAGCTGTTCTGGTGACAAACATAGCGCTCCTCTGGGCAAGTCTCAGCACAATGCAGAAGGTACAAAAACGAAGCAATCAGTGCAATCTTGCACCATGTAGAAGTAATTCTTGCCTGCATTGCTGCCTGTACTCCTACAGCTTCAGTGGTGGTAAAGACGATTAACAAGACTATATAAAAATACCATAGAATAAAACAATGGTTATTAATGAAAAAGAAATACTGTATTACTTAAGTTGCAGTAGCACCTAGAGGACAGTCGCTGAGTATCACTGTGAATGCTGGTGTATAGCAGCAAAAAAAAGGTGCCTTTTCTCTGCTAGCTACTTTGAGATCTCCATGTCAGCAGTGCCACAGGAGAACTCTTGCTGCTGCTTCTCTGGAGCATCTTAGCACTGTAAGAGTGAGGTGAGAGCAAGCTGCTCAGGATACAGCCATACAGGTCACCTTTACTCTTGCAGGCAGGACCCAGAGTCCAACTGCCCCTGTGAGCCCTGACTGAAGCATTACAGAGACAGAACACCCGCAATTCAAAGGCCACTGATTTCAACCGAGGTTCACTGGGCCTAGCTGAGGGCTCATTTTCCACCACTCCTGTCCCACTTAGTCATATTTTACAATAGGCTTTATACAGGAAGGACTCCATGGGTTTCTAGTGCTAAAATTTATTTCTGAATTTATGGTAGCAATTTAAAATATCCAGTTGGACTTAACTGCAACATACTTCCAGCCTATTAACTTTTATTTCTGGAGCTCCTGGGAATTCTACAAAGTAATTAGCAGAACTATGGCAACTGAGCAGATCATTTTATGTGCTGGGCACACAGCATTTATATCACTCTTACGCTTCTGATTTCCATAGGAGGAGAACAGGGAAAGTTGCTCACAGAAACTGTGAGAGTTTCATCATTTAGAAATTGAAATGCACAGAGCAATGGAGATTTGCTCGAGTTCAATTAGCTTACAGCTGGGGGGTTTCTAAACCCTTCTACCTACTGCACAGCCCTTCAAACAACAAAGCTCAGGAAGATTTCTCTAGCAACTGCAGCCTGAACAGTTAATTGCAGCCCAGACTGTTATGTGCGAGAGACTCACTCTCCCACAGGGTTCTTCAATCAGATTAAGGGGATTTGCAGAAAAGGACTGACCCAGGAAGAGGCTACAAAACCTGAGAGAGCCTTCATAAGCAGTGTCTGTCTGGAGATAGTTAGTCTATTCCCTCTCAGTGCCCTGTTGGAGATTACATTGGACTCTGAAGGCTCAGCTGGTGTTCTGCTGGAAAAGCAAGGAACAAAGACAGGCTTTCAAATGGCAGAGACCATCCCATAAAGCAGCACTTACATAAATTTCAGTTACTCTTCAGCTGTGTATAAAACAGTGTCAGTACCATATCTCGTGCGGTCAAAGGGTGTCCCATTTTGCAGTCTGAAACAGCAGGCTGCATCTGCAAACACGAATGAAAGACTGAGCTGTCCCTCACAACAGCAAGATCCTCTGCAGCTTGTCAGCTCCAGTTACAAACAAACCATGAAGGTATTCTTTACTCTAGAACCTGTCCAGAGCACCTGAGTGTGCTCTCAAACCAATGCAACAATCAGTTGTCAGTCTCTAATAACTTCCTCACACCAGAGGGATTCTTGAAGACAGTATATGCCATCTCCCAGATGCTAGTAGAAGCAGGACTGTGCTGCTCCAAGATGGTACACCTGCTGCCTTTGTTCCAACATGACAAGAAAGCCTAAGGTTCAGGGTGGCTCCAGCCATGAACATGATGGAGAGGAAAGAAGTAGCTCACAGCATATATTCCTGTGCCTGTGCAGGCTGGCAGGAAGAAGGGATCAAAGCAAACGCATTGGTGCTAACCTCAGGATTGCCACACTGTGCTCTTTTCAGATCCCAAGGAGACATGCCCTGCATTCACAGCTCTCAGCATCGGCAATGCTTTGGTAGGGACACACCTGAACGTGAAGCTGCTGCTCTACACCAGACAGAACCCAACCTGTGCTGAAGAGCTCAATTCACCAGCCTCCACGTATCTAGATGTGACCAAGAAAACTATCTTCATCATCCATGGGTACCGATTCACAGGCTCTGCCCCCATCTGGATCCCAGACTTGGTGCACCTCCTGCTTTCTGCAGAAGACGTGAATGTCATTGTTGTGGACTGGAACCATGGGGCAACAACTCTCATCTATAGCCATGCTTCCAGAAACTGCAAAAGAGTTGCTGAGATTCTGAAGAAACTGATTGATGAGATGTTGGTAAGTTGAACACTCACACTATGATACAGTCATTAACTCACCATATGGAAAGGGCACAAACAAAGTGGTTAAAACAGCAGCAATTCTGGGAGAATAAACTCCTAAAGGGAAATATATTAATTTTTTTGAAGTGCAGCTGTACTTGCAGTGCCAAACTCTACCCTCGGTCTTAGTACAATGGTATTTTGTTGCAATATTCAGTTTATATATCTGGGCACAAAACTCTACAGATATGTTTTCCCATACATAGAAACTCCACTGAATTTATCCATTTCCACTTAATGTATGTCCAAAAGTAAGCTTGTGGGCATCCACTACAGTTTGCAACTCCTCTAAGATGTTGCACAGGTACAGACAATGATGACACTGGAATTCTTGCAGGAACTACATGTGGGGCTAATGGAATTGTACTAATGGGGCCGATGAATATTCTCTCCTCCCATACTTGCAGACACTGCCACAGTAAAATACAACCATTGCCTGAGCGGTTCTCATCACAGCTCTGTCAGATATGGGCCTCAAACATGAGTGCTGGTGGTACTGTGGGACCATCAAAGGGAGAATATTCACAGAATGGAACACACCAAGGGAGAATGTGGGAAAAATAGTGAGATATATTTACATTTCTTCTCCTAATACTGTTTGTGCCTTTCATGTGCTAAAATCTGTGACCATGAGTACTTTTAAATCTCAGATTGATGGAGCATCCCTTAACTCCGTGCACATGATAGGAGTGAGCCTGGGAGCACACATCTCTGGCTTTGTGGGGCAGCTGTTTGATGGTGCACTTGGAAGAATCACGGGTAAGCTCTTCCTCCTGTCAGTCCTTTTGCTGCAAGGATAGCTGCTCACCATGACCACAGTCAGTGCTCAAGTGACACCACGTGCCTGGCTTTGTGTTGCAGGTCTTGACCCAGCAGGCCCTTTGTACAGAGGAAAACCACCCAGTGAGAGGCTGGACCCTACAGATGCACAGTTTGTTGATGTCATTCATTCAGACACGGATGGTACGTGACATTTGTCCTCTTTACCATAACAAAGAAACCTAGGGGCTGATAGGAAGCATGGGAAAGCAGGGGCTCTGGTAGGCAGCAGCGATCCTTGCTCCCCTATCCCAGGAGAATAGCAGTCTCCTTCAGTGGTGCTGTGAAGGGCTTTGTGTCCCTGCCTTGTCCTCACTGTCATCAGCACACCCTCGGGAGCTGCTGTTTTATTTGCATTTCAAACATGCTGCAGGTTTATAACAATTACAGCCTCATGGCCCATGAATAGCAAGGACTTGGGCACTGGTGCAGCAGTCCCCTGTTGAGACCAGCACACAGTCCTGCCGGAGCAGTTCCACACTAACCTCACACTGCAGGGTCATCCCAAAAGCTAGTCACACCGCTGAATGCCTTGCATAGCAGTTCAGTTATTCCCAACCCAGTGGCTCCCTGCACTCTTCATCCCACCTCCCATAGGCTAAACCCTCCTCCAGGGTGAATCTGGAATCTCCTTCAGCCCTCTCTTTTCCCAGCCGGTGCACAGCACATCTCCAAACCCACAGCCAGGGCAGCAGTGCAATGCAAGCCCTCCGCTCTGCTCACACTGGCACCCGGACCCACTGGGCTCAGCTTTCCGACCCCATCTTCTCCCAGCCCTTCCAAGAACTCAGACTACAGCAGCACAGCGATACACAGTGTTTCAGATCCCTTTTCCTCTCGCACACACAATGACACAAAAAGCCAGAGTTTGCACTGTCGCATGCACTGACTTATTTTAGGTATTTGATAGCATTGCTAAGCTGACACAGCTGGGTCACAACCATTTGGCCTGCTGCCTAAACAGATGAATGACATTAATATTCCTGCACAGGCAGGCATCCTAAAGCTAAATAACTATTTTTTCCCCCTAGTTGTTTTCTTATATTTCCTTCTTCTGCATTTTATGATTCAATATTCCCTCCCCTCACCTCTCATGTTTTCTTTTGTCAGGACTGGGTTACAGAGAAGCATTAGGCCACATTGACTTCTACCCCAACGGTGGGACCGACCAGCCTGGCTGCCCACTGACAATATTTTCTGGTAATTCATTCTGCCTTGAATTGCACAAACACTGACAGAAAGAGAGGAGAAGGCCAGAGAAACATCATCATTGCTTAGAAAATACATGAAGCCCAGTTCTGGGAAAACCACAACAGCAATCTCTTCCCAGCACTGCTGTGGCCCAGTGATGGAAGAGGGGGTTAGTTGATGTGTATCAGGAAGACATACGAATCAGGATTAATCCTGTTCTGTCACAAATGCAAATAGGATAATTGTCCATGCACTGAGTTATCAGGTGGATTTGTGCCTTTATTTTGTGAATACATTTAGAAAACCTGTGGGGTTATTATTATTACTACTAATCATATTATTGTAATTACTTCTTAGAACACACACAAACTCCAAAGACAAGCAATAGCAAGAACCTGGTCAGAAAAGAGGTTCAAGATGAATGGGGTTATAACAAACTCAATGCCCCTTTCCTGGCAGTGACAGGCAGTGCAGTCTGGAAGGCAGAGCTCTGGTCTTGAGTGCAAGAAAGCTTTCACCCTTTCCAGCCTGGCAGCAGAACTGGTTTTATGGAAGTTGGGTGAAGAAGGTACCTCACAGAAGAAAAGGCAGTAATGTGAACTCAACCCTTTCGAGACCCAAGAGGATCTGCATAGGAAACCAACCTGAAACAAATATCCATAGGAAATATGGAATTATTTTTTAATGGAAATGAGGCTTCACTCATTTTGCTGCTCATGCAACACCTCATTTTATTTATGTCTTTCTAAAGAGTTTTTTTATACCAAAAAAGAAGAGAACACCTGACACTGAATAGTGTCTACAGCTGGATCCTCTGAAACTGCACCAGTAGACACAGGCAGAGCTGAGTGCACTCAAAGGGAGAGGCCAGTGCCCACTTAGTGTTCTGCCACAGCCCTGTGCAATCTGCTGTGTTCAGGCTGGTCAGTGATTGTCCCTTTTAGCTAGTGCATTGATACTGTTTTCCTGAAGCGTGAGGGTTGCTAACAAAATGTTTCTTCCCTGTGTATGATTAAGGATTGCAGTATTTTAAATGTGACCACCAGAGGTCTGTTTTCCTGTTCATGTCATCCCTGAAACAGAGCTGCAATATCACGGCATACCCGTGTGACTCCTACAGGAATTACCGGAATGGCAAGTGTGCCAGCTGCGAAACCTTCTGGCCTATGCCATGCCCCATCCTAGGTGAGGATCCAGGGAATGTAAATACATCCTGAACACACGTGTCTGACAGAGCTGCCCATCGTTACTGTAACTTGGAGTGTGACAAGTGTTTTGCTGAAGGGCTAACGCCACACAGTGCTTTGCAAAAGCATGTCAGTTATTCCCACTGAAGCTTCTGAGATGGTGTCTCCCTGACATCTGCTGGGGCACAAACCTCTGCTGCAGGCAAAACACGCCTGAGAAATGTCCCTGCTCTTTGTACAGTCACATCGCATTACAGTCTAGAACAAAATGAACATGTAAAGGATTCTAGAACTGGAAAAGCCAAAATAAGATGGGATCTTTACACAAAAGTCTCAGAAACAATGAATTAAGGTCCATTACTTGCAGAGTTTGAGGGACAGGGACACGTTCTTACTACAACAGAATCTTTTCTAAGAAATCCTCAGCTCCACAAAGCCCTCTTGATTGTAAAAGGAATGGCAGTGGGATGGACAAAGGGTATTCTGGGAGTTTGTAACTGGCCCACAGAGGCATCCCAGCCTGGATGTGACAGGCTGCCATTTCTGAGATGCTGACGTTAAACCCCCTGACAGCTCCAGAAATGAGCTCACAAAAAAGGGGATGATTTTCATTCTGTGCTGCAAAATGAAGTCCTTTTTGACCATGGATGGTCATCAGATGTGGAAAAAAGACTGATCTTAAAATAAGCATTGAGCAGGATCCAGGCGTATTTAGACACTCGGCTGGCTTTAGTTACACAAGTCAAACTGAGCCCTGGTACAAGTCTGCAGAGCTCAGAAGCATGTGTCACAGCACCACCTCACAGCTGGCAAGCAATATGCTATGTCTTAAATACTTGCTTTGTTATTTTCAGCCATTTAGTTGCTTACATACCTGTGCAGTAACTCTGTTTCCTCTACAAACTGTCATCTATAGGTTATTATGCCCATGAGTGGAAAAGCTATTTAACACAACAGAGCCATCCAGTGACAAGTATGTTTTTTGATACGGCAGACAAAGAGCCATTCTGCAGTAAGTGACTAAGATTTCTGAGATCATTTTTCTCTGTGTATTGCCTCCTTCCGCAGCAGCTGAGCAGGGATGTTTAGTTGCAATTGGCATCATAGGCAGCATTTTAGAAGCAAAGCCAGCAGCTGCTGGGTAGAACTGTGTCCATCTGCAGCCTTGCCATTACGTTCTTTATCTGCAAACCTGCCCGGTGCTGTGGAAAGCCAGTTGCTCACTAGAGATGTGTTAAGAACAGGCTCATCTTGCTTACGGTGCTAGGAGATTTGCTGAGAACACGCAAATGAAACATGAAAGGGTTGTTGTTCCTAAGCTGTGTTTCAAAACAACACACCACAAGGTGTGGTGCAAGGAAAAGGTGTGTGGGAACAATGAGAGTCAAAGGCATGCTCTGAGCTGAACAGGTGAAAGAGCTACCACGGACAAAAGTAAAAGGCACAAGGGAAGGGAGAACTGGTGTAAAAAAAGGTTTCCCCAAGGTTTCTCCTCACCTCAGTGGTCACCAACATACCAAACCATGGGCAGGGACTGTGGCTGGTCAGCAAGTGAATTCTGTGACTGACAGAGGAAAGAACAGACAATTCTGCTCTAAGACGGAGGAAACAAATGAAAGATGGTAAGAAAGAAATGAAGGGGTTCAGGAGTGGACATTCAGAGGCAGATAGGACAAAGAAAAACCAATCTGAACATGAGGAAGGCAGGGAGTGAGAGGGTGTGTGCTGAAAGGCCATCTTGCATGCCATTTGTGTAACCCTTGCTGCAGGGCTTTCCCACACCTCTTAATTTTTCTGTTAGCAATCTCTGCAAAGGGAGGTGGAAAAAGGGATGGAGAAAGAGGTTTTAGAGATGAACTGAATGGGAGGAAGACATCCTCTGACTGCAGTTCAGCTCCAGACAGGCACAGAGCTGGGCTGGAAAGCAGAGCAAGCATGCAGAGTCTGACCACGCTTGTGCTCTCTCTCCCCTCAGTTTATCACTACTTTGTGGATATAATTACATGGAACAAAGACACCAGAAGAGGCACCTTCAGCATTGTACTAGCTGATGAAACTGGGAAGGAGGCAGAATCTAAAGTTAACCCGTAAGTCTTACCCATCTATGGTCTGTAAATGTTAGCAAACCACTTGGTATGACTGCGTCTACGAGGAAGCAAGATACCCTCCTCTCATTTCCCTGCAGATCCTTGGCAGGGTACATGCCTTAGAGCTTTCCTGGCCCTCTGCAATTCTCACAGGCTTCCCTGCTGCAGAGCAGCTGACAGCCCAGGCATTTGGTTTGGGCTCTTCTCAGTCATCTAAAGGACTGAAGTGGACAATCTCGGCCAGGGGCACAGCTGTCCTACACTTCCACTAAAGCAGGAGGAAAAAACACATCTCCCCCTCTTTCCTTCCCCTTCCAGGGAATATTCTGTTCCAGCTCTGGGTGCCCAAGACAGCTGGGATGAACCTGAGCCTGAATATGTAACATCCAAATTAATTCATTTCACTTGGAGAGGCAAATTAATGACTGGTGCTTATGTGGACATGCAAATTCCCAATTGATCATAACACACTTCAACCAACAAGTCCTGCTCAACTAGTTTTCCCTATCTGCATACTCTCTCAGTCACATCTGCTTGCACTGGAGCAATCTGCATAGCTCCCTAGGGCTGCTCAACAGGACCAGCGAGTGCGTGGCAGCCCACCAGGCAGCTTGCCTACACACACACGCATCAGAAACACCTTTGGCAGGTTAAAACCTGCCCTATTTTGTCAGGCTCCTAAAACTCGACAAGACCAGGCATTTTGAGCATTGCAATCAGGATACACTTTCATCACAGCTGCACTCTTCACCTTCCTAAGGGAAAACCTTAAACGATGGCCATACGACCAGCGACATAAAGAATGTGTTGTGTGGCCACAGCCATAGTTGTGCTGCTTCTGCACCAAGACTGGTGCAGTTTTCATGCATATCTGAAAGTGGAACTGGCCATTCTGTCAAACACCAGCCCTGCAAGTTTTCACATCTCTAAGCCTGTGCTTAAAACTGGATTACTTTCCATTAATTCCACTCAACACTGCACTGTTTCACAGATGCTTCTGCTGCATTTGCCAGAAGAGACCTACCAGAAATTTAGCTAGGGGCATTAATACCCCCAAGGTACAGTCTTGCATCTGTAGAGCTTCCTCAGCTATACAGTGTTCTTACAAACAGCAATGTATTCTACAGACTCCACAAGTGACTCAATGTTCAGGTCTGCACATCATCAAACATCATTCGAGTCTGGGCCACTTGGGTTCAAAACAGCATCACAGTGGGGATTCTGGTTTGGGACCAGAGCAAATGACATCAGACCTCTGTGTCCCCACTCTCACCCCGAATAACTGAATGCAAAAGTGGCTGAGCAGGTTCACACCTGGAGACCTGAATTTCCTGTAAATCAGAAGCTGATTGTGAGTTCAGTCCTTGCCCCAGCAACGTTCCTAATATTACACTGAATGTATTAAAAGTGGTGCTATTCCCTTAGTGACTCTCAAACACCTTGTCTGCTTTATCTTTAGAGAAGCTTCAGCCTTTCAGCGTTACAAGCAAATCACTTTGCTAGTTGGATTTGACCAGGATCTTGAAAATATAGAAAGGATTTCCCTGACGTTTTCCACAGGATCTGTCATTGGCCCAAAATTCAAATTCAGGATTCTCCAAATGAGGTTCCGGTCACTTACAAATCCAGAAAGGTAAGCAGAGGTTTACAAGCCATTGCAGATTGGACAGAAGTGAATCAATCTCCCACATTCCTGGCCTAGCTGAGTTTGTCCAGAAGAATTAGTTTTATTTCACATTTCACTCTTGTACACCTACCCTGGGAATAAATGCTGTCGTTAGCGCCTACACACAAATCCCACAGGTGAGCACCCACCTGAACACAGACTTTGTCTTATTGTACTGAACACATGTACTTAGTGGCCTGATTCTGACGTGGCCTGACCTTTTTAACTTTGGCCAGGAAAACAACCGTTGAGAAGCTGCCCAGACCTGAACTCTGGGCTGCAGGTAAATGCAATACAGATATCCAGCCCCAAATACACATTTTACAACCCAGCCAGTTTCTAAGTCCAGTCAAGCAGGGAGATTAATTTACTCCTGGAATTCCAGGAACTGGGAGCTGCTTGCCGCTATGCCCTAACGCACTGACTACCATCCACATTGTAACGCACCTACCAGGTCATTTGCTGATGAAACCTCTATAGCTGCTTCAGTCACCTCTGCTCTGCAGTCCTACCCTTAAGCTTCCCTGATTTCTAGGGCACCTTTGGAGGATGGGGTCTCTACCCGAGCTCAGCAAGTACATAATCTCTTAGGTTGACCCTGTGTGCTATGTGGACATCAATCCATACCATGCTTTAAATTTGGGTTAAACAAGGATTGCATATCACAGAGAGAGGAGGGTGAAGCAAAAAAAACAAAAGGACAGAGCTGCAGAACATGTTTCTTTGCAGATGATGAAGGTCAGCTTATCTTAGCCTTGCAATAAGGAAAAGATTGTGTATATCTAATAAGCAAAGTCCTTCTGCAGCTCCCCCTCACTGACACTCGCTTTCTCCTGTTCCCTATCTCCACAGTCACTTCCAGCCCAAGATCCACATACAACCTTTTAAAAAGCAGGTGCAAATGCCCTAACCTTTCATCAGAGGCTGTCTAGTCTCTCCTACAAGGGGCTGCTACAGACTATGAGCACAGTTACATGGCTCTTTTAACACCATTAAGTGTCACTGTCACATGGAGGGATGTCCTGCCCTCTCTCCTTCCTTATTCCAGTACTAATTAACAATGCTCACATGGCCCCAGGTGAAACACTAAGTGTTTCCACTGTTTTTTGGCTGTTCTAAGCCAGAGCAATGCCTGGTCCCAGCTCCAAGTGCCAGCACAATCCCTAACACTGGCATCAGGGAATTGGTAAGTTGGAAGGACCACCCCGCTCAGGGTGCACACAAGTGTAGACTGACTTAGAGGGAACCATGAACTCCACAGCCTCAGTTTGCTTGCTGGCTTTTGTGGTTTTTTTTTTTTCCACAAGGAAATGCCAAAGATAACACAGAACAGAATGAAAGTATGGTCAAGGTATCCCTGACATTGGTAAGGCTTGAATTCAACCTCACTTCATGTGGAGTTCAAGCTAGTTGTCCTGAGAACATGACTGATTAAATGTGAACCTCCAGCATGCTAGGAGACTTGACTGGGAGGTGATACAAGAAAGGCTGATCTTTCTGGCTTGCATTACTGTGTTTATGCAGACCACAGCTGTGCAGGTACGACCTTGTGCTGATGGAGAACACCAAACACACCTTCAAGCCTATCCCATGCTGAGGTAGGAGCTAAGACCTGCATGTGTCACATCTGACGGTGACAGCCATCCACAGCCTTCTGGGGACTCACCCGAAAGCTCCTCGGCACCTTCTGTGGAGACCAGACGACAGCGCGGCAGGGCACTTGTACCAATGACCTGATTCATAAACGGGGCTGTGGAACAGACATGAGAAACACGCTGTCCTGCCGTGCTTCTGGGATGCGGGACCGCCTCTGTGCCCTGGGAGGAGGCGGGTCCCTCGGGGCGGCCGCGCTGCGATCCGATCCGATCCGCTCCGCTCTGCGCCTGCGCGGCGTGCGAGGCCGCACCGCACGGCGGGATGTGGCGGCGGCTGGCGGGGCTGGTGCTCGCCTTCGCGGCCGCCACGGCGGGGCTGTGGCTGCTGTCGTCGCGGCTGAGCACCGGGCAGGCGCGCAGGTGGGTACGGCGGGGGTGATGCGGGCCGGCGCCCCGGGGTTCCCCGTGCTCTTCCTTCCCATCCTTCCCCTTCAGGCCACTGCGGTTCCCGTCGGACCTGGAGGAGCTGCGGGAGTTGGCCGAGGCGCTGCGGGACTACGAGCGGCAGCACCGGGGCGCGGCGCTGGCCTTGTTTTGCGCCGCGTACCTCTACAAGCAGAGCTTCGCCATCCCCGGCTCCAGCCTCCTGGTACGGGAGCGGGGCGGGGGGCTTGCAGGGCGGGAGCCGGTACCAACCTCTTAGAGGGGCCCTGTGCCCGCAGCTGGTGCTGGGTGAGGAGCAGCGCTATCGCCTGAAGGCCGCGCGTGTGAGGGCACACGCGTGCGTCGCGTCCGGCTCTCAGTCTGTTGTGCCCCGGCAGAACGTCCTGGCTGGAGCGCTGTTCGGGCCGTGGACCGGGCTGGTGCTGTGCTCAGCCCTAACGTCTGTGGGAGCGACCCTCTGCTACCTGCTCTCTGGCGCGTTCGGGAAGCAGTTCATCGTCTACTACTTTCCGGATAAAGTGGCTCTGCTGCAAGGAAAGGTAAAAACGGGGCTGGCTCTGCAGACACGGAGCAGCCCCTGGTTGAGGCTGCCCTGTGGGCTGACTTTGTGAAACAATGAAAGCACTTAGGTCTGTAAGAGACCTCTGGCACAACCTAAGCGCATACTGCTTTCTTGGGAGCACGCCTGACTGCAAAGAGCGTGCATGGAAAATCCCAGATCCCTCCCAAAAAAAATCACAGACTGGTCTGATTTGGAAAGTACCTTAAAAGCTCATCCAGTTCCAACGCCCTGCCACAGCAGGGACACCTTCCACTAGAGCAGGTTGCTCCAAGTCCCGTCCAGCCTGGCCTTGAACACTGCCAGGGATCAAAAGTAACATTGAATTGGGAAGCCCCTGTGCTCCAGAGCTGCCTCTGCCCATTGTGTGCTACGCTGTACAGCTCAAGGTGGTTCTGCCATCAACTTCCTGATGTCATTCAGGTGATAGCCCATTTTCAGCACTTGAATGGAAGGGGCTGCCTAACCATTAGGCACACATACATACATAAATTTGATGCTTTTCATCAGTTCTGGACTGATGTAATACCATGGCATGTCAGAAGAAAACTTCACTTTAGTATTGTTGCCATTCAGATATTACTCGTGTCTGAAGGGCAGAAATAATTTGGAACATTTCTCTTGGCAGGTAGAAGAGAACAGGAGCTGCTTATTTTTCTTCTTGTTGTTCCTGAGGCTGTTCCCCATGACACCAAACTGGTTTCTGAATCTCTCGGCTCCCATTTTAAACATCCCTGTGTCCCAGTTCTTCTTCTCCGTCCTCATTGGTAAGGCCTGGGAAGACTGTCTGAGGGGGTAGCGTGACACTGCCTGTCTCCTCATCATCAAGCCTTGGGCAATACACTGGGCTGGGGAAGGCAGAGCACCAGGGCCATAGCTGGGACTCAGCCCCATGGAACTGTTTGCCTTTGTGCTGCCCTTACACTTGGAGGTCTTGAGCATTTTGCAGATACTAGTGCAGAAAGAACCCCGTTCTTTCCATTATGAACACAGACTCCTGTGTCTGGCCTTGGGCAAGGGTGTATTTGAGGTAATTTTACATGGGTGCGATGCTAACAGGGTTTTTTCTGCTCTGATTCTTTCAGGTCTTACACCGTATAATTTCATCTGTGTGCAGACAGGAGCCATTCTGTCACAAATCACCTCTTTGGATGCCATTTTCTCCTGGGACACATTGCTCAAACTGCTCGCGATGGCTGTGGCAGCACTGATACCAGGGACCCTTATCAAGAAGTACAGTAAGAAGCGCTTGAAACTGGATGACAACAAGCACACTCAGATACTCAACGGCAAAAAGAGCTTGTGATGGCCCAGGTGCCCCAGATGTTGGGGCCTCACAACAGGTCTCTGTCCCGGGGGCTATATTCTGCATGCTCTGTGCCAGCATGGACCAAGGACAATTGCAGTTTTTAATCATTCTTCTTGTCAAACAGGAGGTGTAAGGATCTTTATTTTTAATTAATGTTTTAACTGTGCATGTATCTGCACGGAGAGCACTATACAGGGGCTCTGTGAATACTTCAGTTAATGTGCCTGTTTTGTTTAAATTGGCCTGTGCCTCCAGCGTGCCTGAGGATATTGACAACCCCCTGCAAATGTATCAGCATGGGGATAAAAAACAGGGAGTATCAGCATCCCATGAGGAAGGCAAATCAGAACCCCTTAGTTCCCCCCAGCTCTTGAACAGAGGGAGCCCAAGCACCACAGTCTCCCTCCCAGCTCAAGGCACAGGCTTCTACTGGGCTCCCATCCTTCCCTCCGAATCCAGCTCCGTAAGCCCAGCTTGTTTCACTGGTGTGACTGATGTGGCAGCAAACAGCTGGTTTTCTGCCCAGCCTCATCCCTTGGCACCTGGGAGGTCACAGCACATAGGGCTGTGTCAAGCTGCAACAGCAGCTAGTTTGCAGCAGCATTTCCCAGCTCTAGGCAGGCCCTGCTCCCTCCTCACCCTGTCCTCTCCAAACCCATATTTGTTTAGCATTTTTGGCCTGAAATGAGAAATCGTGCACTTCTGTGCAGTACAGTACTGTATGGTAATACAAGGACCAAGTTGAGAAGAAAGTAATGAAGTTTCTGCACCTTCTGTAGGAGAGCTTGCACAGTTGCAAAGGACTTTTACTCATTCAGATGTTAAGTGCACCCTGCAGCAAAATCATTCAGGATTTGGGACCAGCTATGAGCTGCTGGTGTGTACCATTCATATGTCAGAACACAGTGGCTGCTACTCCCCACAAAGTTGGGGGGTGGGGGGGGAGAAATAAAGGACTTGATGTGCCCGCCTGGCAGTACCTTTAAAACCTACACATTTGTTCATGTGTAACTAGAAGGTTTCCAAATAAGCAGGTAAGTCTTTGTTCTATTGCTGAAAGTGATGTTATCTTACTAGATACTCTGCTTCTGGGGTTTTGGTATTTGCACCTCCTTGCTCCACTGTCCATGAGCCTGCCCTCCACTCAGAGGATAAACTTTCTGGCATGGAAGAGGGCAGATGGGAGCACTCAGGAAGGTGAGACAGTGAATGCTTCATCCCCACCAGTAAGGCTGAAGCTGAGTGGGACAGCAAGGTTCCCGGGATGAAAAGTCATGGCTGCAGATTCAGTCCCCAGTTCACATTGCAAAACATCACCCATTTGACAAGAGCAAAAGCCAATGCTTTTGTGCACTGATAGGCTATATGTGTCCAACCAAGGCTTCCCTGCTACTTGGAGCTCCTGATAGTTCCAATTCAGCTGTGTTCAGAGATAAATAATTAGTTATTAAACGGCTTCATGACACTGTCCCACAGTACACAAGAAACCATTCCCACATCACCAAACCAGCCTGAGAAGCATTGAAGTACACTGGCTTTTTATTCCATGCATTGTTTGCTTTGATAGTCATTCTTGTTTCCATCACTGTACACTGTTCAATACAAAAAAAAAATCAAGTTTGTATCAGGAATCCACAGAGCAGGGAGGAGGGAGATGAACACTACTGGACAGGGCCAAGATGAAATGGTTACTTAGAACACGACAGTGGGGAACGCAACATTCAGCTCTGGGAGAAAATCTAGGCTAGTGTTCAGGAGCTGTCAGCAGCCGTGAGAACTGGATCAGGGTAGTCAGGATGCTGAAAAAGGAACCCCCAGTTTACTTCTGCCCTGCAAATGTAGTGTTGCTGAGAGGAGAAAGGCTGACTTACACCTCTCAGCCCCATACCCTGCTAGGGGAGAAAATGTGAGGAACCGCAGCAGAGGTGCCCATACAGCAACATGGAGGTCATGTCTATGTGCAGATCTGGGGAGGTTTCATTAAGGAAAATGCCTATATAACCCCCTGGAAAACTGTCAGAAACTGCCAAGAATGCAGGGGAATGCTGAGCTACTCCTGCCTGCACACAGCCAAGGGCATGGGATGTGCGCAGCAGGAGCCTGGGATTACATCTCCATGGGTACAGTGTTATGTGTTTAGGCAAGGGGGGGATGCCCTAGTGGCAGTCCCAGAGGGACACTGCATAGTAGGCAGCAGTTAGGATGAGTGACACAGGACTGCAACAATGCAATGACTGGGGCATGTAAAGAAACTAGAGCTAAGTGTGGCAGCAGATAACCTGAAGGGTTCAGCTCTGCTGTTCCGGGCTGCAGAATGGGCCAGGGTCCCCACACAAGGATGGGGAGGAATCGGCACACACCTGGGACCACCTGGCCCAGAAGGGTCCCAAAATCCCACACATCAAAGCTTCTCCGCACCCCCAGAGGAGTTTCATTATATGGTGGAAGAGGGCTAAGCAGAGACCACAGCTACCAAAACCCCTCTGGGATCTTTTTGTCAGGGACTGAATCGTTGCAGACAAGTCCCTGTACAGAGACTGACAGGCCTGAGCTGGAGGCAGCTCTCCTTTGCCTGTAGGGCTGCCCTAGGACACCAGTGCTGCCCAGGCTGGGAATAGCCCTGCCTGCTGGAGCTCAAGAAGCCTGTCAGATCTGAGCAGCAGAGTGTCTCCAGGGGCATAAGGTCTGGCATCCTCTGCTATGGGGGACATTTGATGGCAGTTCTCAACCTCTGTATGCAATAGTTCAGTCTCTCTCTTTGTGTGCGTATGTTAAGTGCACACAGTTCTCCATTGTTAAATTCCTGTACCCCAGCCTCTAGCCTCCTGAGTGACAATCTGCACCACCTATTCCACCCCAAAATCCCCCTCACCCCATGACAGCAAAGTCATCTGTGTCCTTCCACCTCCTCCTGCCGCTGGCCAAGAGACAGAGAACATCTGGGGGGAAGAAATGAGGGATGAGAAGAGTGAGGAAACAAGAAAGAAGCCAGGAAAGAGCTTCATTCCCCAATGGCATTCTGCTTCCACCCAGAGCCAAGTATTGCTGCTGCATGCAGGTATGAGCTAGTTGCTCCCTCTCCAGCAACCTATTTGATCCTACACGAATAATCCACCATGCAGATCCACTGCTGGCCACCCCAATCTCATACCTGCTGCCCGGAGCAACTGCCCTCCTCTCTGCTTGTCCTTTTGAGTGCTCTTACCAGGGGATCTTGTTCATTTTGTGATCAGTTCAGAAGCCACTCACTCCCTTATCACCATTCCCCATGAGATCAGGAGCTGTTAACTCTACCAGCAAAATGAGCACATTGCAGCATTAACCATGAGGAGTACCATGAGGCTGACTGCATCCACCTCTCAGAGCAGCCTTGACAGGTTCTCTGGGCCAGTGTAACAGCATCCTTAGAAACCACGAGAGTCAGCCACTACTGACAGCTGCTGAGACCAGCTCTGCTCCCATTCCCCCCCCAGCAACCAGGGAGAAGGTAACATCACACAAACAGATTACAATTGTGCTAGCAGTGAAGCCAACCTTCTGATCTACAGAAATGATAATAAATAATAAAATAACATCATAACTTAAGATCTGTGTGTAGTCCAGCTACAAAAATTTAAAAATATGGGATAATTTAAACTCATACAATACTGCTCTCTGTATAAGTAAGACATTTTCCTTCATTTTGCCATGAGGCTATAAATTACCACAGTTAAATTCAAACCAGTATTTTAACATAAAATGTAAACAAACAAAGCAACAGAAGTACCTGTCCATGGTCCATTCCTGCCGTTCAGCTCAGGCTGGTGTGCCAGTCTGCAGAGCAGAACCCAGCACGCTAGGAAGGGCAGAGTGAAAGCTCTTGCAGGGCGACATCAGCTAAAGTGGTAGGGGGGGAATCGTGCTCTATCATTTTGTTCTCTTTAAATATTGTTTTAGAAGAGTAGTGTTTGAAGGGAAGGCACTATGAGTTCTATCAGAAAACAAATTTTTCTCATCTGCCAATGCCTCGGCCTGTCATATAGCAGTACTATCCTCACTTTCACCTGCAGAGTTTCAGCTTAAAGGAGAAACAGGCCTCACAGTGCACCTGAGACACAGCTGTGACACAGCTACCATCAAGATTCCCTGTGCAACCCATTTTGCACAAAGCCTGACATGAAGGGCAGGCAGCTGTTAATGCTTTCAAGAATGTACAGTGAATAAGGAGACAGAGCAGGGCTGATGCTCTTAATCTAGGCCAGTGATTCCCAGTCTTCCCCCCTCAACACACAGCTCTCTGCTGGTTATCGATGCTGTTGTAGGTGAGAGACTGCTTCTCCAAGTCCAGCACAGGCATCTCCAGTTTCCTCCCCAGAAGAGTGCTCAGGCTCTGCAGAATGTGCTTTCCACGGTTTGCAACTTCTTGCTTTTCCAACACTGATTTGATTGATTATTTTGACTGACTGAAACAGACAGGAGGTAAGAGAAGGAAGTAAACTGGGAAATGGCACACTGCATCTGAAAGAGGTTTCCCTGCTCAACTGGAGATCGACACTGCCAGAGTGAAGCAAGGACGATGTTAAGAAGTGCTCTTATACCAATTCTCGAGAGGACGAGGTTAGAATACATTTGCAGGATCTCACAACAAAATGCTGATTAAAAAAAAGAAACTAAAAATCCTTAAAATAAAACCCACTATTACATTCCTGGGGATGTATCAACTCAGAAGACCCTGGAAGTTAGCACCTCGGTACCAATATTCTCCAGGAACACGTCCAACCTTCTGATTAAAAATGACCCAGCTGGTTATACTGAATACGCTTTGTTCACAGGTTACCCTATAGTAAGGTCTTTTTATGCTTCCTCATTTGATAAGACTGAGTGGTTTAGTTTTCTTGATCTGTTCTCCAATCTTCAGGGCCATGAGGCCTGGTCCCCTGTGAAAGCAGCAAGAGAATCCCCCCGCGTCTGTACACATAGCTGTCCAGGCAGGACTCCCAGGATGTTTCTCTGTAATGTGCTTGCTTTCTGAACTTAATTTTTTTGCAACAAGTCTGTGTGTCTATAAATACAATCCACTCTTTACAGTAAAAAGTGTTAAAATGTCAAAAAAATAAATATCCATGTTACAGTAACTAGATTATTCAATAAAATACATCCCTGCCATTCTTGATTGAAATGCTCAAAGAGAATTAATTTCATTTGGACGTTTTCCAGAGATTCGGGTTATTGCAA